GGAGGTGGTCTGAACGGTGGGTGGAAGGGAGCGGGTTTGCTGAGTGCCGTAACCCAACAAAAAGCACCCCTGGGAGCCAGGGCGGTGGAGCGGGTGCAAACACCCGCTGGGGCTTGATATGGGATATTTGTGCCAGTGTACAAAATGCATTTCACCCCAAGTCCAGCCCAGTCCCTCCCTCCAAGGAACCAGCATCCCCCCCAACTCCCCCAGCCCCCTGTTCTCCACCCCAGCCCACTCTCAGCCTCCTCAGTGCCTGGGAGTGGAGGTGAGCTGCCCAGGGCAACTGCTTCTCCTCCCTGAACGGCGGAGGGACAAGCCAAGGAGCTCTGTGAGGAATCACGTAGTGGTGCAAAGGGATGAGGAGCAGTGCAAAGGGATGCAGAGCAGCCCCTGCAGCCACATCCAGCCCTTGCTTCCAGCATTGGGTGGAGGAGGGAGAGGACATGGTCCAGCTGTCCAGGATGCGGCTGTCCTCCTCTTCCCTTGCTCTGCTTACCACTTAATAAGGACAATTCCTCTGGTGTCCCGCAGCCCCCGTGCCATCCTCGGGCATTTCTCCTGCTGCTTCTCCCTGCCCGCTGTGGGCAGGGAATGAGGGCACAGCTCAGCATGGGCACCCGTGTGCCGGGACTGGCAGCCCCATTTCCCCACAGGCAAGCTGGGACATTGGGGACTGTGGAGGTTGCATGGGGACAGGCGCTCAGGAATGTTGTTTTTTCTATCCCGGTTTCCTTCAAGGTAGTAAATCAGCGCTGCAAAAAGGCTTTTGTTTTCCCCAGCACGCTGCTGGCTGCTGTGCCTGCCAGCCCCTGCCTCGCCTGCAGGAGCCAGGATGCGGCCATCCTTGCCCACACTCCCAGGGCTCACCACGGGGACAGGGTCCGTCCTGGGCCAGCGAGGCTGAGGACCTGTCATGCCAAGGGAGGTGACCTGGCATCTCCTCTCTCATCCTGGCAGGGCTTTCCAGGGAAGCAATCTCATCACATCCCAGTTCCCTTATGCCCCTTCCCTGGGTGCTGGACACCCACAGAGAGCCCTTGGCCCCTGTGGAGAAGTTTTTTCTCCATCCATCCTGCCCCACCTGGCTGCATCCCTCCTGTGGCCATCCCCTCCCCGCTGCGAGCGTTCCCAGTCTCCCGTGGGAGGATGTTAGGTGGCACAGGGTGACATCGAGCCAGCCCCAGCCCTGCAGGGCTTTGGGGTTTAGCGATGGGGTCCTCATGCAAGGCGGGGGGTCACCCTGCAGGCACCTCGGCCATGCCTACCCCCAGCACGTGGCTCGGCAGAACATCCCAGCCAGGTACCCGGGGAGCTGGGGGGGATATTGGATTGCAGCAGATGGGAGAGTGTCCGGGCACAGGGTGGCCCAGGCACAGCTCCAAATGCCACTGGGTGACAGCTATACAGCAAAGACATCTCCTGTATCAGCTGCGGAGGCAGCGCTCCCTTAAAGAAACACGGCCCCCCCCAGGGATGGACAGTTGCCCTTCAGGGATGCATGGTTGCCCTTCGGGGATGCAGCCGATCCAGGCTCCTTGCCCCGTGGGGTGCTACGGTGGGGGGAAGGTGCCACGGGGGGAAGGTGCCCAGCTCCCCCGAGGGGACATTCAGCTGCTGGCACAGGAAAGGTGTGAAGATCCCCAGATGTATACATTGCGGCTGGGCTATTTTGGAAAGGGACAGAACCGATCTTGTGACCGGAGTTGGGGACTGCAAGTCTGGACAGCAGGGTCCTGCCTGAGTGACAGCGACCTGCTGCCTGACCTCGGGGAAACCCGAGAGCCCCCGCTGTGCTGGGGACAGCTTTCACACCCCTTCCCACTCCTGTCCCGCTTATTTAATGATGATGAAAACCAAGTGTTGGGCAGCGATGTGGCTGGGGACAACACAGGAAACCAGGGACAGAGCCCAGGCTTGGGTGCAAATCCGACCCCCACTCTATGGCATCGCTGTGGCCGGCCACCCATGGTCCCCAAGGCTGTCCTGGAGGTGCACCCCATTTTTTTACAGCTGTGCCACCTCCTGTCCCTGCACTGTGGCTGGGATAGGACCAGCCCAGGCCACCGCGGTCCCCCGGGTCCCCCAGGCGGATGCCAGGAACAGACGGAGATGAAGACTTTCTGCAGACCCCGTCTCCCCCGGGCTCGGCAGCCTGAATGCCAGCAACGCCTGCCAAAAATATTTGTGTGGGAGTTGGAAAGTTAACTTTAGTTTTCCTTTTTTCAATGGCGGGGGGGTGGCTGGGTGTGAGAAAGGCAGGCGGGGGGGCTGTGCATCACCCGCCAGGGAGTGGGCAGGGAAAGATAGGCGAGCAAAAGGTCTCCCTGCTGCCAGATTTCAGCACTTTGTGAATTGAAGGAGTTTATTATTATTATTATTATTATTCACTCCTCTGGCACCATTTTGCAGCTTTTTGTAGGGACTCGCTGCTGCTGGGGAGCGCGAGGTGCTTCTCCGGGGATGCACTGTGGGCAGCTGCTTGTTGGGGCTGTGAGCTGGGCACCAGTGCCCGACTCAAGCATCCCTTGCTCCCCAGTTTGATGCTGCACCTCTGAAATACTCCCCAAAATGACCCTCACGCCTTTACAGCCTCATTCTGCAGGCGGGGGTCTGCACAGGCGGGCGGTTTTTATCTCAGCCTGATTTTGTGGATGTGGCTGGCGATGCTGCTCCTCTTTGCTGGTTCAATGATGCACCCGGGGCGCATATACCCATCCTACCCAGCCGGTCTTCTCACAGACAGGATCAGCCCTGCAGCGTTTGCTAGAGATGCACTTTACCCATAAATATTCCCTTCCCGCACTGTTTGCAGAGCCCAGGTCTCCGTGCCGTGTCCCAGGGGGAAGGCAGCTCCTCCACCGGCAGCTCCGCCGCCGTTCCCCCACCGCGGTGCCGGGCTCAGACTGGCCCCCAGCGAGGCAGCAGATGCGTGGCTTGGTATTTCGGTGGCGTGGGCGGCCCCGTCCCTGCAGCGTGTCCTCGGGGAACGCCGCCGCTCGGGTCTCGCCAAGAAGGGGTTTGCCCGGGGAACACCAGGATCGTGGGCGCCCGTCCTCGGGATATGCCCATCTGCAGAAAGCGCTCACGAAATGGAAGGGGGCGGCTTTGGAAGATGGTTTTCAGGGTGGTACAGGCTCACCCAGCAAACTGTCAAGGCAGCTCTGGTGTAGGATGGGCAGCAGTCGTGCTGCCCAAGAAACCTTCTCCCTACGGATGGGGTGAAGGGATGGGAGCGGGGAGATGGCAGAGCCGCTCCGAGAGGATCTCTGCTGACCCACCCTGGGCTGGGGCTGTTTTCAGCAACTTTCTCTTTGCCCTCGTTTGAGATAAGCCAGCACCCTCCAGCTCCCACAACTTGCCATGTTTCTAAGGAAAGATGTGGGTGGCTTCCTGCAACTACTGAGGCCCCGAATTACGTAAAGAGCAGTGTGAGATTTCTTTTTCAGAGAGAAACATTGAAATTTTCCCCCCAGGATCTCTTTGCAAATCCGTGTTGAATAATTGCAGGCAAGCAAGGCAGGAGGAAGGATTTCAGAAAGGGCAGAAGATTTCCTTTGGGCATTCTCAAAAAAATGCAGCCTTGTGTTTGGGAAATGCCTGAGCGCCTGTTCAGCAGCAAAGCTTTCACTGGCTGTTTTCAAATCTGCCTTAGTTTCCAAAATAACCTTGCTAAGGACAGCTAAAGTTTTGCGGAGAAGCTGTGAAAGCCCCAGGTGAAGCTGCAGGGTGTATTCCTGTTTGAGCTCAGTACGTGGTGTTGACCTGGTGCATTTTCTTACTTCACTGAAAAACCTTGCAATAACTCAGGGAGGGTTTTGCGTTGAGCAGAAACCTCTTTTCCTCCTCCGCTGGCTGTTAGGCTGGGAAATCCCTCACGGTCCATGTGCTGCGAGCAATGTCGGTCTCCCAGCAGCAGTGATGCCCAGCGGGCACTTTCCTGGGACCCAGCCTTGCAGTGAGCGGGGCTGGGTGACGCTGCGCTGAGCGGCTGTGGACGACTCACAGCACAGGATTTTCCCTCTTTCGCTGTAACCCATATCCTGTCCCGGGAGCGATGACATCCCCCTCTCCCAGCTGATACCTCGCCTCTCGACTGTGTCAGTGTGTGCGCTCGTCATTCAGCAGGATTTGTGCTCGGCAGAAAGGAAGAGGGTCTGTCTGCGCTTGTCTCGGCGCTGCGTGAGTCACTCAATGGTTAAACACAGCTTTGTTAGCTGGATGCTGGGAATTTTGCTTTCCAGAGGGGTGGAGGTGGGAGCCAAGGCTCCTGCTAACCCTGAGCAAACCCTGTCCGCAGGGAACGGGCTTCTTCCCCGAATGCTCCCACCTCCTGAACAGCAACCGTCCCCCAGTGCTGGCCGCAAATGGGGGTGTCTGCAGCCACGTCTGGGCTGCAAAAGCAAAGGGAGCCGGGCACTGGGCTCTGGCCCTGGGTGCTGTCCCCAGGGTGAGGACGGAAGGGTGAGGGTGCTGGGACGGTGAGCATGGCATTGGGGGGGGCTGCTGCGGTGGGGGGCAATTCCAGATGAGCTGTTAGGGAGTGTTTGCATCTCAGGGGGTCTTTCCTCGTGGGCAGCAGTGCTGGGGCTGCAGCCTAGGCTGGGGGTGCCGGGAGCTGCTCTGCTGGCTGCAGCCAGAGGAAATCAGTGCATGCACAAGCATCCGTAACGCTCCCTATTCCCTTTGTACAGGTCTTTAGATGCTGCTCCTCTGCCCACCTGGACAAGAGAAATTCCTGCAAAATCCTCCTTGGTGACGTGTGTCCTCTGGGCAAATCCCTGCGGCTGGATTTTCGAAAGCTGCCTGCTCCCGTGGCATCGCGCCTGGTCCTCCTGCCTGCAAGAGGACTAAAGCTGGGCTCGTGCCCAGCACGTGGCCATCTTCCCTCCTGGACACTGCCCATGCTCCGAGGGACATTGCCGGGCAGGAGCCAGCTCCTCGGCCATGCGGAGTGGGTTTGAAAGGCCGTGGAGTGCCAGGGAAGGAAAGTGTCAAAGATGCTGAAGGCAAGACTTCGGCAGCCCTGTCTGCAAATCCAGCCCGGCTGCCCCACTCCCGGCAAGGCTGCACAAAACCCGTGTGTCTGCGGGACGGCCAAGGGGGACACCGAGGGGGACGCCAGCTGTTGGCAGGAGAGGGGGAGCAGAGGGGGGCAGAGGTGCCGTCAGCTCCGGGACGCTCCTGCCTCTGAGGCAGTTGAGCAGGAGGGATGGACAGGACCACCAGGGGGGAAGGTGAGCGGGAGCTGCCGGCGGGAGCCCAGGGGGCTCAACGGGGACACGCCGGGTCCCTCGGTGGACAACGGCAGCCTGGCCTTGGCCACTGAACCTGCAGCCCCAACAAAATGCCCCGGCTCTGCCCCAGAGCTGCGCCATGCAGCAGCCAGCCCCACGGCTGACCCCAGTCAGGAGTGGAAAGTGGTGAAGATTCAGCGGGTCCTCATCAACCCTGCTGGCGAGCCAAGGAAAGCAGGTAAGAGAAATCCCCTTTGGCCACTGTCCCCCACCCCAAAAAGCGCTGGTGTGGTCCTGGGGACAGGGCTGCCACTGCCCGGCACGGTGGTGGGAACACCCGGCTCTTCCCAGGGCAGGACCTCTGCTGGGTTAGAGGTCCCAGGCTCCCGGCTGAGCTGCTGGGACTTTTTTAGCTTGAGATGATCTCTCTGGCCTTAAAAATAAGGAGGAATCCGTGGCTTTTCTCTGGAGGGGGGTGGGAAGGCAGCGAGCGGGTTCCCGCAGTCTCCAAGAGCTCAACCAAACCCCGAGCGGGGCACAAGCGGCGTGGGATTCCTGGCCCTCACCCTGGCCTTGGGGCTTGGTGGGACCCTGCCAAGAGGGGGGTGATCAGGACCAGCTCCCGGGGTGCTGTCTGGGACAGGGACACCTCTCTCCTGTCGGTCAGGGCGGGGATAGCCAAGCATTTGTTACATGGCTTGGGGCCATCTCTCTTTCAGACCCTGCTTTAAAAATTAAGCACTTTATTTCAGGTCGGTTGGCTCCTACAATGTTCTCTGCCATCGCCTCGCTTCACAGCCCTGTTTCACAGCCGTTCCCCTCTGTGACTGTCCCTTCGGCCATGGTGACACAAATACAGGCACATATCTAGGGTTACCGCAGGCCTCCCCACCCAGGGGAGATGCTCCCACAGGATTAGACCCATCCTCTTACAGGCATCAGACCCATATTTAAACCCCGCTTCCACCCTTCTTTCTATTTTGCTCCTGCCCAGCTGCTATCTCAGCTGCCACCCGGCGCCGAGGCAGGTGTGTCACTGTCCCCATGGGATGGCGTTATCGGATGCTGCCGCTCTGCTCAGAGCCTGGTTTTCCCAAAGCAGCCCCCAGGATGGGGAGGGACGGGACCGGCTGGGGATGCTCAACGTGAACCCGGTGTCCAGAATCCGTCCCCTTCCTTTTTGGGGTGTCAGACATCCTCAAAGCCAGCAGCTCCCCGGACGGGATGAGGGCTGGGAAACTCAGCCAAGCTCCTTGGCTCGCTGCTGCCCCAGCAGCTCCCCGGGCCGTACGGGCGTCGTGTTTCAGGGCTCAGCACACAAACCAGATGGACCCAAATAGTCTTCCCATTTCTCACTCTGCTCTGGGACGGCAGATCTGCGGTGGGGAAAGGTCAGGCCTGACTCTGTCCAGGCTCAGCATTTTCCTAACCCGCGCCACCATCCAGCACTTTTCCTGCCAGCCTGGAATTTTAAAGTAACTCAACAGGTTTGTTGGAAAGAGTTTGTCTGTCCCGTTTCCTCCCCCTCCAAGTGAGATCACCACCAGCCGCTGCCTGCAGGACCCGTCAGACTTTCCAGAGCCTCCGGGCAGGATGTCGCTGAGGGTCCTGAGTACCGGCAGCAGTGCCGGGACCTTGCAAAAACCCTGCAGGTTTGCAAAGGAGAGATTTGGTTCAGAGCAGGGACAGCAGCAGAGGAGGGAGGGAAGGGCAGATCCCCACGCAGGTGACGTTGGGACTGCCTCTGCAGCAGGGTGTTTGCAGGAGCCCCCCCGGGAGGTGTTGAGGATTTGCTCCTCTTCTCCTTAGCTGGCTGGGAGTACAGGAACCCCCACCCCATGCAGCTCCTGCAAGAAAAAGGGGTGCATCCATCTGCACCCAAAATCATGCAGGGGTGGTCCTGAGAGCTGGGAGGCAAGCAGGTGCCCCCCCACCCCCAAGCAGTGCAGACCCACCCAGGCAGGTCCCAGGTGCCCCTTTTGGTCCCCGTCCAGCAGCCCAAGGCCAGGCTGTCTGCTCCCATATATCCAGCACAGCGGCCCGGGCTGGTTGGCATCTCTCGGGGCAGGCTAGGGAGCACAGGAGCCCGGGGTAGAGGCAGCGGCTGGGAGATGCAGGAGGCAGGACTGGTTTCTCTGTCTGGTGTGCAAATAAACAGAAGGTTTCGCTCCCTGGGGGCTGCCGAGGCAGCGCCAGTCTCCCTCAAAAACCAGAAAAGCACAAAAAAGCAAAGAGGGGCAGGAAGAAAGGAAATTAGAAAGGCAAAAAATAAAGCCAAGAGCTCATCTTGTGGTGCGGACAGGCGCGGGAAGGGGGTGAGGCTGGTCCCACCCGCAGCGGTGCCCGGGAGCTCTGCAGCCCCAGCTGGAGCGGGGTGGTGGAGGTGGGAGGTGATGCTGGCTCCCCAGGAATCACGTCACCCACGGCTGTGGTCCCCCCGTCACTGGGAGCAGACCACCCCTGGCAGAGAGCTTTCAGTGCTCTTCCCAAAGGGTTCCCAAGGCGGTGACACCCGTGCTGGATTTTTGCCCAGCTCCAAGTACCCCAGCTCTTTAGGCACTGGGGAAACTGGCAGCAAGGGAAGGCCCTGCTTCCCCACCAGTATCTGAAACGTATGGGGCTGCAGGTCCACAGCAGGGCTGGGAGGAGGGCAAGGGGGCGAGGATTGGGGGGTAAGGCGATGCGCAGAGCTGGGGAAGGGGCATGTGTGGGGCTGGGTAAGGGGGTTGTGCAGGGCAGGGATAAGGGGATGCCCCAGGATGGGATAAGGGGATGTGCAGGGCTGGGTAAGGGGATGTGCAGGGCTGGGTAAGGGGGATGCCCCAGGATGGGATAAGGGGATGCACAAGGCTGGGTAAGGGGATGCCCCTGCTGCTCTCCCCCCGACAGCGGACCCAGGGCAGACCCAGCCGGGACGGGAAGCGGCGGGGCAGGGCCGCCGGGGGCAACCGGGGCGGCTTGCCGGTGCCGCCGGTGGGGGGGTGGAGTGGGACGCGTCCCGTCCGGTCGGTCGGTCGGGGAGGGCAGGACCAGGACCGGTGGGACCCGCCACCCCCCCG